AATGCAAAAAAGGGGCAGTTCTTTGAAAAAAAATACAAACAAAAAAAAAAAAAAAAAAAAAAAATCACAGAAAATTAAACTGAAAGGCAAACTGTTATGCAGATAATATAATTTATACTAAAAAATTCGTACTCAATTATAAAAAAGCAAGACAGAAGCACTAGTACTAGTACTTCACAAATAGATATTAGGGACCCACTGCAATGTCTTTCCCAAAGATATTATCTGAGGATATTATTCCAAGATATTATCCTAGTCCTCATTACAGAAACTACTTTGTGATGAACTGAGACGATAAACTGTTAAATAAAACAAATAAATGCAGAATCAATACCTAAAAATACAAAGCAGTCTAAAGAGAACTATTTCCTAGCCTGAGCAGCAGACGTGTTCCCCCTTGTCTGCTGTTTTCATTTGCTTGCTTGGTGCAGCTCAATGAGCATGAAACTTTCTAGCATTTATCATATTTGCACTCTCCCTCCGTTTGCAAAAATCATTCCAAACGAACATCTGTCACTGTGCTTGCAGCTTGTTAGCAGATCTGCTGGATGCTTTCGTTTTTCGGCGGTACTCTAACGTTTCTTCGTGCAGCAGCTGTTGAAAGCGAGAGGGGTGGTATTATGGTCCAGAGAGGGTTGCGGGGTCAGCCGCAAGTGTCTCTCACTGGCCCAGCTGAAGTTGCCTGGCTGTGGCTGACACAGTCGCCTGGGCTTTTCCATTCAGGGGTGGTTTCAGCCTTTTTTGCATCCAATGGACCCCCTCTGACGTGATGGAATTCCTCCTCTCTCAGATAAAGAGAGAATGCGCCAGGCCGAGTTATTACTGGCCTCACAATGCCAATTATCCATTATACAGGGCTGCTGGGAAGCAGTGTTCAAATTTTTATTCTTTGTTCAGGCCTAAAGAAATAATTTCTAGAGTCGGGTGGCCCGGTCATTTTTCCTACTGCGTATCTTCAGTTGTTTATGCAAAATGGAAAAACGCACTCCACCCGGAGCATTTTTTTCCTGAATAACTTTCCTTCCTGTTGAAAACATGTTAATTAACAGCATCAATTCCTATCACCAAGCCCTAAGGCAGCCCAGTTCACAGGACTCCACCCAAACGGCTGTGTGTGTGTGTATTTAAATGTGTCTGGATTCAACCTGTTCCTTTATCATCCACCGCTGACCTGTTTAACGCAGCTCTTTGGGGCATGAGCGTCTGTTGTTGCAGCACATTCAGGACATAGTTCTGGGCATGGAGGGAATAAGGACTTGACAAGTAGTCATAAATAAGAGGGAGATTTTTCAGGATGGCGCTGACACGGGTTGCAGTAAAGGAGCCGTCTGGGGTGCCGCGGCTAATGAGTTTCTTGCCTGAGCGCGACAGGGGAGCCGTTTTAACACATTCCCTCTCAAAGTAATGAAGAGGGGAGAGTAAATCACACCCAGACAGATGTGTGAATGCAAACACTCTTACCACGTTGTACAGGCCGATGCACCAGCGCTCGAACAGAATCTGACCGGAGAAGCCATTCACAAATGCAAACCAGATCTGAAAGACAAAAGACAACGGAATGGTAAACGACTCATCCATGCGAATATATAAAACGGAATTTAACATTTGACCCCATTAAGTAAAACACATTATTAAAATAAACAATTTAAATATATTAATAATAATAATTTAATTTAAATTTATAAATATATAAATATAAAATACAATTAAACTATTACATGAAATTAAATTATCATTCAAAAACAAGAAACAAAACCAGTCTTTTAGTACATGTAATGAGATGCACTGAGAAAAAAAAGAAGAAAAAAAAAAAGGAGTAACTCTACGCTTCCCAAGTTGTCCTAAAGGAAATGGTAACATATTAAAAGAGCGATGACAGGCCATATGATAATCATTACAACGTAAATGTGTGACTAAAAGGTAAATATATATACTATCATTAATCATATATTCCCCACTTTGTGTGCGCTTAACTGTGATACATCCTAGCGGATTTTAATTTAGGTTGATCGATGGCTGTTGTTTTCTGTGGGGCCTCTCAGTGCTTGAAATTACCCAAGAGAGAGTGATCTCTCATGAACCGGCAGTGAACTGACCCCATCAGTCCTTGCTACAGTCTCATACACTGGATCACTGCAAATGATTCATTCCAAGATCAGTCTTGCAGAATAAATGAGCCAGATTTGGGTCACTTTTTCATACACATAGTGGGGTCCAAAAGTCAGACCACTATTGAAAACTCTACCATTGTGCATTTTTATAATATAATACTATTCTTCCGTTACAAAACAATTAGCAAGCAAACCAGAACAAAATGTATACAATTTTTTATTAAATGTATTTAAATAAATAAATTAAATTAATATAAAAACAAAATGTTTTTTATTTTTATTGATGTTATAAAAACAAATAAAACAATAAACAAACAGGTCAAGTACAAACAAACAAATAAATACAATTATATAAAAAAAATAGTATTCATTCAAATTTTTATTTTGTTTTAAGATAATGGAAATGTTTTTTTGAAATGACCTGCCCACCCGCTAAAAACCAGTTTTAGATTATAGTACACTTTGATAAAAAGATTAATAGTCTACCATCAATAAGAACAGCTGTGAGATGAGACATATAAAAACAGTTAAGCCCTGCTTTAGGAAACATACTGCCAAGGTTTTCAAAACATTTAAACAGAGAAGCCCCACTATCTTGTCATGCGAAGCCACATCCTGGGCTTAACACATCATTACTCGGCAGACAACCAGGCAGGAATGAGAGAGGAAGGGTGTTTGTGCTGGAGGTAAAAGAGAGAGAGACTTCAACAGTTCCCATGACTTCAGCCAAATCAGACGCTCTGTTTCCCACCTTGATCAACCCCCAGTGTCTCACAGCAGAAACAACTGATCACACAAAATGAGTTTAAGACTGTACAAAAAACAAGATCAGTGCAAAAGGACTAGATTTAACAATTTAAAGAACCGAAAGACGTGAGTTATTGGACTTAAGAGTGGAGACCAGGGAAAAGACCACAAATGAAAAGGAGAAGAGAGAAGAATGTGTATCTAAACCACATGCCATGGAGATGGAGTCCATCACTTAATATCTCTATTAGTTTGACTACTCTGGCACACAACTCTGTCATAGTCATCTAGAAACTGAAGAATGTGATAATATCAGACAGCAGCTGTTATAAAGAAGGGGAAAAAACAGTAATGATCAAAAATGGGATGAGAAAATGAAAAAAGGGTCGTATGACACCAAAATTTAAAGAGATAGTTTCCCCCAAATTATGTCATTTAATTACCAATTTGCAATCTACACTGTTCAAAAGTTTGGGCCGGTGAGATTTATTTTTTAAAAGTCTCTTTTGCTTACCAAAGCTGCATTTACTTGTTCAAAAATACAGTAATATTGTGAAATATTATTAAAACAACAACAAGTTTTCTTTTGTAATATATTTTTAAATGTATTCCTGTGATGGCAAAGTTGAATTTTCAGCATCATTACTCTTTGATTAAAAATACATTAAATATAGTAATATTGTGAAATATTATTAGGATTTAAAATAAGTGCTTTTTGTTTTAATTTATTGTAAAATTTGATTTTTCTGTGATGGCAAAGCTGCTTTTTTTGGCAGTCATTACTCCAGTCTTCAGTGTCACATGATCCTTCAGAAGTCATTCTAATATGCTGATATTTCAGGACTCTGATGAGAAGATTAAGAAGATTATTACAGTCATTTTGAGTAATTTTATGATACTTTTATGGTGCTTTTTGTAATTTTTGGAACTTGTGAGACCCTGGTCACCGTTAACTTATATTGTATAGAAAAGAGCAGTGTGAACATACAACCAAACATCTCTTTTTTTTGTGGTCTATGGGAAAAAGAAAAACATACAGGTTTGGAATAATATGACGGTGAGTAAATGATGAAACAATTTCTCTTTAAATGAATAAGAAATACCTGAGTCAAAGTTCAGAACACAAGCAGCACTGTTCAATTTTTGCTTGCTGTGAGTTTCTCCATTGTATTTTAGACTACAGTAATTGTGAACATGTCTGAGAGGACCAAGCATTCTTCAGTACGTGTGTGAGAGGCTCGACTTTTGAGCAGACCCCACATTACTGTGCTGTGCCGCGGCCAGGTGGACATTTCCTCGCTTCATTTAACTCCATTATGAAAGCGTGAACTGCTACAAATTTTTTGGGTTTTGACAGAACCCTCTCCAAATGCGGCCCCCGCCAGTCCTCACACACACACACAGCACATCCACAGCCCCTCTTATTCAACAGAGCGAGCCAATGCGTGAAAATGTTCCCAAAACAAATGTCTGTCACCCCTCCCCTCCGGCCTCGCTATAGAGAAAGAAAGAGAGAAAAAGAGAGGAGGATTGGCCGCACTCTCCGATGCGACCCCCACGGCCACGCCCACCCGTTGCAACTCCCATTTTCCTTTCTATCAGGTGCATTCTACCATGATATTGTTTTTAAAAGAGATCTGCTGCTTCAGAAACCCATTCGTACACACAAACATGAATAAATTACCAATATCGCATCACATGCTATGTTGTTTTCCTACTCGCAAACAAATTCTAGACTCATGACCACAATTTGATCAAAAGCCACATGAAAAACCAAATAGTCGTGGCCAGCAGCATGCTGGTAGTCAAACAGGTGGGTCAGAGAGCTGAATTAATGCGAGTCTGCCTCATTGAGGGGCTATGGGCTGCAGGATATTGTTGTGCTAAGTCAAAATAAAGCCTCTATTCATGAGCAGCAGTACACGCATATGAGAGAGCATTCTGGCCTGGTCCTCTGAGCCCTGTGAGTGCCCCTCTCTCAATGAGACAGATTCATTGATTTGCTCATTAGGGACCGAGGACATAGTGTGGAGGGCTCTCTCTTTCTTCTCCTCTTCTGGCTCATTCAGAGGCGTTCGGCGTGGAGGTGTGACTGCCCTCTACCCTCCGCTGCACAATCTGAAAAAGCGAGGAGAGTGTGTGTGTCTGTGTGTGTGTGTGAGAGAGAGGGAGAGTGTGTCCCCATGAGATTCGTACTGAGGGGCTCTCAATGTATTTTTCAGAGAATTTTGAAATCTGTGATTCCACCCCGCCCTCTGTTTCCATGTTGGGCAGGAAGAACCCGAAGGGAAAGAGAGAGAGAGAAAAAAAAAAAAATCACACTGACCCCAAACTTTTGAACGGTAGTATA